GGGGTTCATCCTGGGAAGATGGTCCTGTTTGTCTAAGTCAGGTTTGTCTAGAAATGAATCCTTGTTGCTGGTTTAATGTTTCTATTCCCACAACCTTGATAATCATTCCCTTTTTCTTGATTCCATAGATTTTCTTCTAGAAGTAAAGTGCTGTGGACCCAGGACTACCACAGCATCTGAAGCACCATAGAAGTCTTATGGTGCTTACAAATGTCTTTCACATTCCTACTATCACCCCCATTTTATAGATGAAAACACTGAGGTACAGAAAGGTTCAATAACCTACTTGAGGTTACGTAACTAGTCAGGGAAATAGGCTTTGAATCCAGATGGTCTGACTCCGTAACCTCTACTTTAACTCTCAATAAACAACTGTTGATTGGTCAGTGACATGTTTGTTACTCGAGGGACCTTGAAAAGAGATCTTACTCCAAAATATAGTTTCCAGCGAAGGGAGTGCAGTTGTATAATATTATCATTAAGCACTGCCCTTCCTCAGTTTCTTATAGTGCTTTAAAATGTGTAATATCCTATGAAGGGTTACACTAACCAGTCAGTGTGAATTTATTTATTAGATGTTGTTATTGTCTCATTGAATGAAAGTGCTAGCGGGGCTGGAAATTGTTGGATCCTTCAAAGAAATTACATAAACAGCTATTTCCCTGCTCTTTTTCTAAACAGGGTTGAAAAGTTAATCAGAAAGAAAATATGGTAGCCAAAATGCCACCACCATCTAGTACATATTATATCTCTTTGAAATAATAAAGTATCTCATACCTCTATGTTCCCTGATAGTGGTTAAATCATCGACAGTGGCTCTAGGTCTGTTAGCCAAGGCTTGCTCTACTAGAGTCTAGTTAATAACTAGACCCAAGAATTAGGCAGATTAACCAATCCCATGGCAGCCTTGGGCTGGGCATGTCCCACCCCCCAGGTGTTGGTCCCCATTTTGGTGTGGAAGGTCTCTGCAGTCCCCAGGTAGAAGCAGGGCTGAGCTGAGCCAATTATTCTTACCAACTTTGCCAATCAGTGAAGTCCTACCATTTCAAGGACAGAGAGAGAAAGAGGCCAGGGGTGTGGGAAAAGCACTACCATCCAGCAGAGACCTTAACCATCATCTCCTTGAGCCCCTCGTGGTACAGACACAACAGAATTTCAGGAAGGGGAAAGAAAGGACTTGGATAAGTGAGTGTTGCAAGTTCATGGGGGAGATGGACCAGGACCCCAGGCATCACTCCATCTACATTGCACATTGTCTTCCTCCAGGAAGAGGGAACAGTGAAGCACTCCAGGACCTGGTGGGAAGGGGAGGAGGGTGGGGGGAAGTGACTAGGCATAGGGGGACCCTTCAGCAGGCCAGAGCATCAGGTATTGGAGTCAAGCCCTCTCTCCCCTGCTCTCCTCCTCACAGCCTCACCCAGTGCCAGAGCTGGGAGGACTTGAGATGAACATTTTCGTAGTCAGGGTTCTCCAAAGAAAAAGAATCAATAGGATGCATGTTATAATACATATATTACACTGGATTGGCTTCCATGGTTATGGAGGCTGGCAAGTCCAAAGCCCTGCAGCGTGGACCATCAGGCTGGAGACCCAGGAGAGCCAATCGTGCAGAGAAGGCCCAAAGGCAGTCTGCTGGAGAGAATTTCCTCTTGCTTGAGGCAGTGGGTCCTTTTGTTCTCCTCACACCTTCAGCTGATTGGATGCAACCCATTCACATTATTGGGGGTGTGTGTGTGGGGGGGTAATCTGCCTCACTCAGTTCACTCATTTAAATGTTAATCTCATCCCAAACGCCTTCCATAATGAACCATCACACCCACCTTTCCTCTTCATTGTCCTTGTGGGGCTGGAAGTTTCCCACTATATTAGTCATTTGAATACCACTTTCATGATTTTTTTTCAATATCCCTGTGTGATGCATTTAGTGTATTCTTTAAACCAGTGTTAACTATTCATTTAAAAATTAGCCTGGCTTATACTAAATATTCGAGATAAAAGGATTTATTGTACTAGGTGTAATTTGTTTTTTTCTAAATAAGAATAACATTTTTAAAGTATGGTAGACTTTAAAACCAATTTGCAGGTGCCTGAGGCTCCGACTGGCCAGCAGGGGGCGCAGCTGCCCGATGACCCCGGAAGCCCGCTGGGGATGGGGTGGGCGTTGGGGGGCGGAGGGCGGTATTTTTCAGGCCCACCGGGCACAGGGCGGAGAGGAGAGCCTGGGCCTAATCCCACCCAGGGCGCCCTCCACTGAGCCCCCAGAGCGGCTGCTGAGAGCGCCCACAATCCAGGCCTTTGGAAGCCCAGAGCCCAGACTTGCAGCGCCGAGGCCCCCCTCTGGGTCAGGGCCCCGACGGGAGGTGAGGCCCTGGGGAGGCGCTTCCATCCTCCCCGAACCCGGAGGATGCTCGGAGCAGAGGCCGCCCGCAGAGGGGGAGAGCCCCGCGGCGGGAGGGCGGTCTGTCTGTCTGTCTGTCTCTCTCCTTCGAAGCCTCGTGCCACGCGGGGCTGCACGTTTGGAAACCGGGAGAGGCACCGCTTGGGGCCGACCCACAGGGGAGGGCGGGTGCGCTCCGTTAGGGAGAGGGGACCGCGCGGTGGGGGACCGGCCAGCTCCGCCCAGAAGGGCTGTTGGTAGCTTCGGGGCTCAGAGAGCGCCCCTCGCGGTGGCCTGTGGTGCTGCATCCTCCTGCCACGGCCTCGGGCGCCCGGAGCCCAGGCCCCAGGGGTGCGCCTGGCTGGAGGGGACCCCCAGGCAGCATGGCTTGGTTTCTCTTATTACTATTTTAATTTAAATGGTTTCGCTGCTTTACCGAAATGGAGACATTTATTTTAAAAGGAAACTTTTGTCTACAAAAGGGTCATAATGGTACCTGCATCACACCGGCTTGATGTGGGGATTATAAATGAAATAATATACAGAAGTGCTTTAAAAAGCGCTTGACACGGCAGAGCTCAGTACATAGATGCTCTTGCTGTTTCGATTTTAGTGGGAAATGAGTTCTGGGGAACACTGGGGCATATGGGCATATGGGCCTTTCAAAGAAGGCTCCAGGAAGGATGTTTTGGAAAAATCCAGTCTAGCCTCGTGTTTTTTTTTTTTGTTTGTTTGTTTGTTTTTTTTAGTTTAAATAAATTGATTTCAGAGAGGGAGGGAGAAAGAGATAGAAACATCAATGATGAGAGAGAATCATTGATCAGCTGCCTCCTGCAGGCCCCACACTGGGGAACAAGTCCACAACTCAGCATGTGCCCTTGACTGGAATGAAACCCGGGACCCTTCAGTCCCCAGGCGGATGCTCTATCCACTGAGCCAAACCTTCGAGGGATCCTTCCTTCTGTTTTAATGTAGACCTGATTGCCCTCACTGGCCAAAGGGAAATAATCCCTGTAACTCCATTCACCCCTGGAAATTCCTGAGTTTAATTGCTGAATTTGCTACTAAGTACAATGGCCAGCAGGTGGCGAAAGAGCACCGTGGATGTGTTTGCACTTTTGTGATTGATAATAAACACCGTGGTTCAAGGTTTCTGGGGATATAGGGTTGCTGGAGGATGTGGGCAGGAGACCTTGGCCAAGGAATAATATTAATGATTTATTATTCTAGTCTTTTTTTTTTTTGCACAAGATTTTGGCTTTTATTTGATTCATTCATATGTTCATTCAACAAATATTTATTAGATGCCTATTTTGTTTCATATGTTATTCAGAGAATTGATATACACTGAGTGGCCAGATTATTATGATCTCTGAGCATAGGCCCGGTGCATGAATTCGTGCATGGGTGAGGTCCGGCCAGCCTGGCCTGGGAGAGGGGACATGGGCGGTTGGCCGGCCTGCCTGCTGGTCAAACTCTTGATTGAGGGGACAATTTGCATATTAGCCTTTTATTATATAATAGGATATACACTGAGTGGCCAGATTATTATGAATTCAATGAACTAGAACAAAGATTCTTGCCCTTATAGAGCTCACATTTTTTGCAGGGAGCAATAAAGATAATAAATTATATAGCATGTTAGAAGTGTTAAGGAAAATAGAAGTGCAAACTGGAATGTGTGGGGATGGGATTGTTGGGATGGGCGAGTTGCAGTATTAAATATGGTATCTAGGCCAGACCTCATTGGGAAGGGAAGATTTGAGCAAAGATTAAAGAGAAATGAAGTTAGCCAAGCAGAGATCCTGGGGAAGAGTGTTCTAGATACTACGAATAGTTTGGAGCAGTTACGTTTACCCTTGGATTGATGAGATAATTGAGACTCAGGGAAGTGAAATGACTTCCTAGTATTTAAGGTCTTACAGGAGGTTGATGGCCAATGAGCTTCACCTCCTCATTTCTAGCCTCATGTTTATTCAACAGATTATATTATCACTTTGTTTGTCAAGGTGATGGAGCCTTCCAGTAAACCTGCATGATACATAGCTTGCTTAACTGATGACTCACATTATCCTGGCATATTTTCCCATTGGGCCATACCTAAACTGCCTGTGATCTTTTGTTTTTACATAATCAATACAATATTTATTTTGCTAAGTGCTGTGGAGGATAGAAACGAGGCATGCCCCTGCACCTAAGGGACCAATAAACTATTCATAAGCATCTTTTGGACTTCATGTCTTCTCTTTCATCTACTTTTCCAACTTTCCTCCAGGCAAGTTCACTGATGATCTCTACCTACAGCTTAGAATCCAGTCAAGTTCTCAGACTTGGTCACCCATTCTTGGTTTGTAGGTTCCTGAATTTCTCCCTCGATTCCCTTTGCTTTCAGGTGATACGTGGTGTCCCTAGTTATCCATAGGTCACAGTGTCCACTCTCTCTGCCCCGTGTTGACCCATCTCTGAAAGCAGGCTTATACTTTGCCCTCTACTCCTAGGCTTCAATGAGGTATCCCACCTGGATCCTTAGGGGCCCTCTAGAACTGTCTCCTTGCCACCTGTATTCACAATTTTGATGTTTAATTTGTTGCCAAGCTGACAACATATCCCAGGGAGCAAGATTTCAAATGCTCTCCACAGTCGTTGAGATCTGACCTCTTGAGTGGAGACTTCGTTCGTGTCCTCCTATTTGGAAATAGCGCTCCTCAGACATCGTGCTTGGTTCTCTCAAAGCAGCTTCTCTGAGCCTGAGCTAGTTCTCTCAGCCTTAGAGTCCCCTTTCCTTCCTGCCCCCACTTGCTGGGAGGAGATTGTGGTGCTCTGTGCGCAAGCCCTGGGTCATAGCGCTTGTGCAACATCAGTGAAGAACAGAAGGCTGTGCTTTTAGGTAATTAATTGGAGTTTGGTAAGCTCGTAATGGATAAGAATGTGGCAAAGAATGGAAGGTGGAACTGGAGCCTCGTCTTGAAGGACAGCTGGAATTAGTGGGCGTAGGGGAGAGAACAGGGTGGGGGTGACCTTGGAGTGTTCTGGCACAATGAACAAGTAGCCTAAATGGAATGGAACAGAGAAGGTGTGTTGGGGAGTGGTGCCGGCAAGAGGACTGATAGGAAGGCTGAGCTGGAGCAGGGCCTGGAGCACCTGGTCAAGACATTTGCATTTCAGCATCATAAACTATTCTCAAGTGTGACGTTCTCTGGAAGGTGGCAGAACGGCATTATGACAGGACCTAATGTCCGTCTGTCTGTCTTGGAGCATCCACATTTACTGCGTTCCCGAGAACCCCATTTAAAGAGGTTCCCTTGGTCGTTTTGTCAGGGCATTCTGTTTCTTACTTTTTGCTTGTTTATTCTCAGTCTTCTCTAGAACAGTGTTTCCCAACCTTCTCTCATGATGAGAATCACCTGGTGGAGTTGTTAAAACACAGATTCCTGAATCCCAACTAAGAAGTGCTAAACTAGAATTTTTGGGAACATATAGGTAAAATTGTATACTTAACTAGTGCTCTAAGACAGATTTTATATAGCACTAGTTAAGTATACAATTTTACCTATATGTTCCCAAAAATTCTAGTTTAGCACTTCTTAGTTGGGATTCAGGAATCTGTGTTTTAACAACTCCACCAGGTGATTCTCATCATGAGAGAAGGTTGGGAAACACTGCTCTAGAATAAACCTTAGAAGAATGCTGCCAGAAGGCCAGGATTCTGTCTCATTGCTTGTTGAATCCCCACAATCCAGCACAGTATCAGCTACTCAAACACTCTAAAAATATTTGTTGACTGAATGAATACCTTAAATAAAATATCTTTTTCCAGACCTCCTTTACTTGATTTTTTTACAGAGAGGAAAGGAGATAGAAAGTAAGAAACATTGATCAGCTGCCTCCTGCACGCCCCCTACTGGGGATGTGCCAGCCACCAAGGTACATGCCCCTGAAAGGAATCAAACCTGGGACCCTTCAGTCCTCAGGATGACGCTCTATCCACTGAGCCAAACCGGTTTCAGCTCCCTTACCTTTTGAATGCTTGAGTTCTGTTAGTGCTAATGTCATCTATCTATCTTGTCTGCAAGGTTGGAAATTAGGAGTCAGCCTTGAGGAAGACATGGGCAGAAGACCTTGCTACTTCTAAATTTACATGGGGACTATACTCTTACGGAGATCTTGTTTTATGCTCCATTTCGACAAGATAACATAATGTACCCTTTTTAGATGTGAAGGCTGAAAGCAACGGACGTGAAGAATGAAGGAAAAGGAGAACTCATTAGGCGGGCCACTGGCAAATTGTAAATTACATATTTCTAAACGTTACCCCATCATATTAGCTGTTTTGATCTCTTCCAAGGGCAAAATCACATAGTGGGTTAAGGGTTTGGGCTCAGATCCTGGTTCTGCCACTTCCCAGCTGTGTGTCTTTGGGAAAGGTGCTTTACCTCTCTGTGGCGCAGGTTTCTCCTCTATAAAACCTGGATAAGGGTAACACCTCACAGAGTTATTTTGATTACGTTCTTAGAGCAGTACTAGCACATACAATGTTCACCAAGTGTTTGCCATTAGTAGCCATTAGTATTCCATGGGTCGGTGAGACATCATGTATTCTGTTGCCAGTTGGGGCTGCTGATCTGAGACAAAAGGGTGAGATAGTGGAGGGAAGTTAGAATTCGCTGAGTGAGGAGCGAGTTCCTGTGGGAGATGGCCATGGCCACAGAGGGAGGTACTGCGTCCAGATGGGATTATTTCTGGTGAAATGTGAGGTGAATTCTTTGACATACTCAGGAGGTGTTGCCACTTAGCTGTCTCTATGAGGGGCTGTGCAGACAGCTAAAAGAACTCCATTCCCACCCATTTATTTCTTTGTAGGCAAAAAGGACAGCCAGGCAATTTATGATTAAGGTTGTTAGTGTAATATTGAAGTTCTCCAACGGCCCATCGTCTCCTTCCTGACGGTGAGTCTCCCACCCTCAGTGAACACACAACTCAACATTCCATTCCAGGAGTGGCGGCGGTGACAGTGAGGTGGGCCAGGAAGGTTTGGTGGTTTTACCAAACTGAGTAACCATAACAAATTACTTTTCACCCTTGAATCCCTGTGGCCCACTATTCCAGGCACTTAGTATTCTTGCTGACATAGCAAAGATGGATTTGATCCTGGTTATTTTACACTTGGGAGTGATTTTATTTTGCTGAATGTTGAACTATTTGGAAGTGAAACATTTTAATTTTTTATTTATTTATTTATTTATTTATTTATTTATTTATTTATTTATTTATTTATTTTTGGAAGTGAAGCATTTTAGAGCTGCAGAAACTTCTTGGCCAGGTATATGCAGTATCCATGTGGCCTTTCCCAGCCTCTCTGTGGGACGTCACATTCGTGTATTCTGAGGGCCCCTCCATGAAGGATCTGAAAGCGAAGACACCAACATTCTTTTCTTCTGAATGCAAAGGCAAGGTGCAGGTGCGAGACATTAAAGTTCCAAAGAAGATGCAATTGGGCAGAGTATTCTTTGTTTTTCTATTCCACTTCTATCCAGAACAGAAAAAAGACCACCTAAAACTGGGGCAGAGGGGAATTTGGAGAAAAAAATACAGAGTAGGATGTAATGTGTGGATCTATGCTCTTCTCTTACCCAAGACTGATATGAGTGGTGGTGAATTATTATTATTATTACTATTACTATTATTATTATTTTTATTATTGAAAGGCATAGATGTGTTTTCTGAATAAGGCCTTAATTAGGGTAATCTATTGTCTCTGTAGCACATTCTCCAAATAAAGGAGTCCCTTTAACAGTTCCAGTGTCAATGAACGGTCCACTCTCTTTATGTGTGAGCATCTGAGCTGAGAGGACCCCTGCTTCCCTCTCTGAGTGCCACCAAGGTACCTGAAAGCCTTGTAGAGAGCCCTTCAATGCAGAGGAGTAGAAGGATGGCTTGTCTTGTCTTGACATGCGCATTGGAGAAGCTCAGTGGCATGAGAGAACATCTGAAAGCACTAATTATTCCTGTTCCTTTCTGGCATTTTGATGTCTTCCTCTTTGCCATTACAATCTAGTCACTTTTCTAGTTCTATCTTTAAGAGGATTTAGGTCTCAGTATATTGGGTTTTCCCTGCCATATGGGTCCATTTTGGACTCTAAACTTCAAGTCTTTTCTTATGTGGGCTACTCTCTCCATTTGTTCCTTGAATGGATACTTTCCTGAACCATAGTAATCTCTATTTATGACTTTCTGAGGTTTCTCTGTTTGTTTTTTCAGGTTATTTCACTCATCCAGTGCCAACTTGATTTTCTAAGACTGAATTTTTTACTGATTGCTTGGCCTTGGCTTTGTGTTAATCTTCTTCAGCATTTTGTCTCTCTTGATGCTGTTGGCATCTTAATTTCTATTCTGAGAAGTCCCAGTTCTTTTTTATTTGTTGGTAAAACCTACCACTCCCCTCTTGTTGAACGCATAGTCTTTGGATCATGTAGAACTATCAGTGAAAGATGTTAAAGAGAAACATCAGGTTCAAAATGGAGTCACTTTGATTAAGCCCCATCAAAATTCAATACCTAACCTAATTGCAGTGTCAGCCCCTCCCAGAGGAGGGGAATTTTAAAGCAGTCTAGAATTGCTTGATAAGACCTTGGTCACCATTCCTCCAAAGAAAGGTGACCCAGCCTGAAACAATTCTTCCTTATCTTTTGCCAATAACTTTCTTGTTCTGCCCAGTTTCTGCTTATAAAAACCGTCCACTTAGTACAACTTCTCAGATGGTCCCAGATTCATAATTTGTTCAATAAAGCCAATTCGATTTTTACATTTACTCGGTTGAAATTGTGTTGTTTCACAGAGGAAACCAAATAACAGGTAATAAATAACTAAATAATCAGATTGCTGGGTGAAGGAGAATGTGCTCGAAGGAGGTAGGAGTGGAGAGGAGAATAGTGTGGGGGTGCAGGGAAGAGCAGGGCGGGGAAGGAGTGAGAGGAAGCAAATATTCTTAGCCCACTCACTGTCATTATGTGTGACCTCTCTCAAAGGAGGTGGAGGCCTTGTCTAGGTAGAAGTCATCATTCCTGGCAGGAGGAGGTGGCTCTTGTTGTACCCTTAACCCCATCCTTTCCTTCTGCCTCTTTAGGAAGCAATCAGGAGACTTGATTTGCTCCACCACTGATAATAATCACAGTGCATTACAACAGTGATTTTCAAGTGATGTTCTGCAAGAATTGTTAAAGCATGCAATTCCTGACTAATTTAGTCAGGAGCACTGACCCCTTTACCTTTAGATTTTGAAATTTTAAAAAATATGACAACAGCCAACACAACAATAGCCATCCGATGTGAACGAATCAAAATTATATCTATTTTTTTTTGTCAGACTGGCAAAATATGACATTTTTTGGTGTGCCACAGAATTTTAGTCATTAGTTTATATGTGCCATGAAATGAAAAATGTTGAAAATTGCTGCATTAAAACAATTTCAAAAGTGTGATTATAAAGTTCAGCATAGATATGAACAAAGGCAAAAGGACTGACTGACAGACTAAAGAAATAGAGACATGACAAAGAACATATTTATTTAAAAATTGCATACCTGCTCGGCTGGCATGGCTCAGTGGTTGAGCATCGACCTATGTTGACCATAACTGGAAGACTCTTTTTAAGTTCTCTTGCCAAAAA